TAACTTTAGTGGACCGTGTATAATTTGAGAAGTTAGTTGGAAATTGGTGTGCCAACTTTGGTGGAACCTTGCATAAGTTGAGAAGTTAGTTGGAAAGTGGTGTGCCAACTTTGGTGGAACCTTGCATAATTTGAGAAGTTAGTTGGAAAGTGGGGTGCCAACTTTGGTGAAATTCGATAAATTTTATATTTCAATTAGTATGACTTGAAAGTGTTGATTTGAATTTTGGCCAGGTTACACAAAATTGGAAGAACTTTCAATAATACAGCTGTAAAACATAAAAGTTTAATTAAAAGATCACTAAATTAAAAAAAAAAATGTTTCATTGAAGTAATCTGAGTATATATCAAGTACAATCAAGTACAAACAAGTAGGACATTTTTCTAATTTTGAAGGGAGTATGAGGTGATGCCAAAATAATTATTTGCATTGGCTTCATTTCTTGAAACAGCGCCACCTATAGTTTCGCTATTTAAACGCCTCGTACATATATGTCACACAAAATGAGCTTTCGCCCATTATGGGTTGGTGGGTCGTTCATTATTGTTATCATTTTGTAGCGTTTTCAATACCTTGGGATTTGCTGCCACTAAAAAGTGGAGAAAAATCCACGGTGAACGGAACGGTTTCACTGGCCTGTGAATCTGATTAATTTGAAATGTCTTTTTTTCCATAATCTTGTATGGCAACTAAGAAAAAAGTTTTAATCCATCAAATATTGTATTTATTTCATTTACATTGCGAGTGACTGACATGTGGTGTGGAATAGCATTGTAGTGATCGCCCAAGCGAACGGCACACTGTGACCGGTATGCCGTATCGGTGTCCTGGCTTGCTCAACGCTACGCTAGATCGCCACTGTGGACCGGCTGGATCGACTGTGCGTAGGGGTGCGCACCCGGGGTACATGCACGTAGTCGTATCGTTGCCCCATCCCACGAGTGTTGTCAAACCATCAAGGTAAATGTTATTAGGAACTGTCCTGTCCGTGTAATAGTTATTTTCAAATTCTACGGGAAGCCATTGATTTGACGAATGTTTTGAAGGCAAATGAAACTTACAGGCGTAGCGAGCGAACGAACATGACCGGAAAGCTCGTGGGTGTTAGCCACAGTCAGCTGGCGCGCACGTGATAATAAAATAAATACCATATTTACTGTATGGGGGGCGCCATCTTGAATGCAGCATAATACTAAATAAGAGACAAGCTGTGAAACGTGTTTTTCAGATTCCTACAAATCAGGACAAAAATACAAATCTTAGCCATTAGCCGTGTTAGCCATCCTAGAAGAAGAACCAACACTGATTTTAATCTCATTGTATAAATAAACAGATACACACCTGAAAACACGAATACTTTCATTTATTTATGCAAACTGCGCCCGGACTGTTACATTTACCGGGAGTCGACGCCGGAGAAATACCAGGCTGAATGGAGAGTACCTCATTTACATATGTAAATTAGAATTAGGTTTGATTTTAAACAGCGCCCCCAATCCAGTCTATGACGATTGGCTGCTGATCTGCACTGGCTCGGAAGATGAATTCTGATTGGCTAAAAAAACAAAAGACTTGTGGCGTTGAATGCACGTTCATTCTCAGTAATGTTATGCAAATTAGAAATTCAAACTAGCTAATCATTTACAACCTTCCCAGCCAGTGCAGATTAGCCCACGATTGGCCTGCTCAGGAGTATTTTTCTTCCTGCGATTTTCAGTAATATTTCCAAACGTTTACACTCATTTGGAGTTTTGTTGGTGAATTAGTGTTGGTAAGTACTTGTAAATGACTTTTGTAGTTGTTTTAGCCGGTCCTACTAATTACTGTCCGGGACTGCCCGGGGACTGCCCGCGGCGAAATGGAACTGACGGGGGCGATGGGACTGGCGGGGCGCAATGGAACTGCCTGGGACCGATATTCAACTATTCAAGACAGGAATTCGACTGATTAAAACTATACTCAGCTAAAAATCACTGTTTGCGTCTTTTATGTGTGGAATTCATACTCGCACGTTAACGACGTCCATTTTGACCGTACCATTATTCTGGTGAGGTGTAAAGCGTGGACCTACAGTTAACCTATTTATTCATCGTGTTTATCATAATGTTTATGTAATGCATTTGTTTCTTATATTTTTTTACAGATTATAGCAGATGACATAAATATTAAGGTTTCTTACATTTGGTTTTGAGAACTAAAAACAATGTTGTTTTTACCTATTATTTTGCAAACTTAACTGGTTGAGATCATGTTAACATAGTACCTGTCGTAAAATGTCACATTTCTTGTTGAGATCAAAAACATCATAATTTGTTAAGAATTGATTAAATATGTAATATTACGTGACTGTATATAAAATAAAGACACAGATTATGATTGTATATAAAATAAACTATACTAAGTATACTAATAGTAATAATATGGCTTCTTCTCGCTCATCCATGCATTTGTTGCAGTACGTGTTGACAAAGTGTTTTTGTGTTTCATATTTCGATGGCAAAAAGAAAATTATCCCTTACTTACCTAGCTCTAAATTGTGTTGTTAAATATGAGGTATGTAATGTAAGTGAGTCTCTATGGTAGTTGAGCGCGGTAAACTGAGCGTCTGTAAACAACACTCAGTGAGATGTTACACACACTTGCATGAAGTGAAAATGTGCACACATACAAGAATGACGTTTTATTAATGAAATGTACATTCGCATTTTGCTCATATGTCCGGATCAACCTTCATAGATTTACACTACTGAAATGGTAGTGCAAGGTTGCGCGTCGCGACATTTATGCAAATTCGTTTGAAGTGCGTGAATCATTCCGTGATCGTACTGCCAACATTCATAATATACGTTTGAAATGTAGACTTATTTATACACAGATGATTGAAATCTCATTGAATCTATATAATTACGCATCCACACTTGTGTTTTCATTGTTTTTGGTGTCATTTAACGAACTGCAGTGAACTTGCCGACCGTTAAGGGACGACGTCAAAAGATCGATGTCGGATAAAAACATATTTGCTTTAGTTTGGGGGTGGGGTGGGGGTGGTTGGGGTTTGACCTCCAAAAGTTTCCATCCTACATTTTATTTTTTTAATGAAGTCAAAAAAACTTTGGAGTATTTGTAGTTCATTTTTTTCTATCCAATCATAGACAAAAATTACAGAAAATGAAAAAAAACAACACCCAAAACGAGAAAATAGTTTGGTGCGAGTGTAAATATGTGCGTCAAATGAGGTCAATTTCAGGACATGGACCTAGAGCATGCGCAGAACCCAGAAAAGTAGTTTGCGCATGCGTATATTCCCCTTCATTATTACAACCAACTGCTATGCCATACTACTGTCCGATTATCAATTTGTATTTAATGGTAAATGTAGTCTGACGCCATGATCAATATTTATCAATTAAATTTTAGTATAAGTCTAGAATTAAGTTTTTTATCCGACATCGATCTTTTGACGTCGCCCCTAAGTAGTGCTGGCAATCAATCTATTGAATTACGCATCCACACTTGTATTGTTTTAATCCTATGTGCACCGGGCTTATATACTGAGCGTCGTCCTCTCATGTGAATATGTGAACTTGTGTCAACTTCATGTTAAACTGAGCGTAGCTCTCATTACATTAAAAACTAAAGTATACCGTTATGAATGGACGTATGTTCGAGTGCCAATCATGGAAAGCTAAAGTTACACAAAAAATATTCTCCATACACAGGTACATCGCAGATGCTTCGGGCCAGTCATTGTTGCGGTGATGGACTCGCTCTTGTTCATATCTTTGACACTGAATGCCAATCGCATCTTTTAAAGGCTGATCTGAAGGTGTGAACAATTTACCCAATCATATTTTATTGAATATCAAGCTAATCACATAAAAAATGCAAGCGATTCCTCATTAGAGGATCACACTCAATCTGATCTGCCTGTGCTATCACATCGCAAATCGCAATCATATTGATTATCATATTCTCCTGCAGTTATATTCACGAAGTTTGTCCGTCATGGTTAGAAAATCAACTCGTATTACTAAGCGCAAGTGGCCTTGTTGCACTTGTGGTCTCCAGTGCAATGAAGCATCTATCTTTTGTGATGGATGCAAAGTTCGGTATCACACGAAATGTGACCATTTGTCAACAGCTGATCTCAACGTTTTGACAAATGTAACTGAAGATTATCTGTGCTCCTCTTGTACGCACATAGCTGGAGTTTTCGACTATAAGAATGCCCTCACGCGTCTGACGAATGCAAACAAGAATGGAATGCTGGAAACTGTTGTTAAGGTGGAGAAGATCTTGCTACGTAACACTGCCACACAATCACGTACTAAAGAATTTGTGCTAGGGTCGATGCCTGTTGACGTCACAGCTAGTGACATTTTAAAGAAAATTGGTAAGTTCTATTAATTTTTCTTATTTATTTATTTGTTAAGTCGTTCTTCTCCTGTATACATTTATATGGTCGTCTATGTATTTGTTTCATATCTTATCGGTGACATTGGGATTACCTGGGTATACACTACTACTTCTTTCATAAAAACCCACCCACATGATATCTTTATTTAATAACATTTATTTTATTTACTTCTAGGTGGTGTTAATGGACATACACCTGTATATGATTCAACAGATGGTAATTGTTTGTTCAACTCGCTATCTGTCGCAATTACTGGCAACGAGTCTCTGGCAGATCTAGAAGAGATAAGAGTGTGTACATGCATAGAGATGGTTAAAAACAAGGATATATATATATGAAGAAACATAAATGAAATGGAATTATGGCAGTGTACAACGATGCAATCTATGACTGTTCAGTGAATGGAGAATATTCATCCGGTTGGACAGTTGACGGATCAGCAACAGTACTGAAGACAACAATCATATCAGTTTACCCGTCCGTTAATGGTCTCTTAGATAAAAATCTGCCTGTTTTTAACAGAGCCTTCATTCCGATTAAATAAGATTCAACCAGGGCACCAATCTATATTATGTGGACCGCCGTTGTAAAACTAGTACCATTACGTATGTGGAATCCAAACCATTTTGTGCCGCTGATTTAAGACGAGAAGACTGTCCAGATTCTCTGACCAATGTTAAAAACAAAACTGCAGTTGTTGAATACATTAGAAAATATCCAACAATTCCTGTGCCTCACGGGAACAGCAAACAAAATAATGCTGAATACGTACGAACATCCCGCAACGTGAAACGACGGCTCGACGACATGATTGAAGAAACAAAACCATCACGTAAAGTTCAAAATGCAAAGTACCTTGCTATGAGACGCAATCGACCAGATAACGGACACTACAGAGATATTATGTTTTCGTCGACTTGTATTTATTTATTTTGTTGACGTTTGCGAGGAACCATGGCTCTTCTGTGTCGATAAAATCCTAATGTCTGAAAATAGCAAATTTAATGAGACAAATGTTACAGTATCAGAAATGACTAAAGTATCATCACAAAAACTAGAGACCGACACAACAAGAGCCATGGACCCACAGCTAGCTGTTTGTTGGGATATTTTGACAATGATGAGCTATTTTGCACATTTACTGACTAACAGAATATAGTGAGTGACGCCAACGGATAGTGGGTATGTGGTTTAATTCAGATAAGCACCGTCTACACCGTTTCTGATTCAGAGTCGCCTCAGACTGCCCTCAGTGATTTCAAGCCCAAACACTTGGTTATTGATTAGATAATCCTTGAAAATTATATTCAACTTTCGTGAGCCATAATGTACAATATTCCCTGCCATTAAAGAGTAGTAAATTCATCAAATGCAAAAAAGTGAGCAAAAATACATAAATATTTCTGAACTTAAAGTGATTGCATTGTATGGAGTTTTTTTACATAGAGATTGTATAGAGACCATTCTACATCTAATCCAGCTGCTATCTGAAAAAAATGCTGCAAAGAAAAAACTAATTCTTAATTCATAAAATTATTTCGAGGCTAACATGTATATTTTTAATATTTATTGAAACAAAATTTACCAAATTCTGTAACTACAATAAATTATTATGACATGACAATTTGGTCCAATATTTTTTAGCAGGAATTCAAGGAGTTAGTACTAAACTTGACAATGGATCATTACGTTTTCAAAGACATTTTCACTGCTACAAAAGAAAACAAGATTTGTTGTGGTTGTACATTTGTTCATGTTATTATTAAACTGAATGTACTAAAAACTAACAATTTCAAAGAATGATTGATGACACTAAAATCAAAAAAAAAGAAAAACTAGGTAAAACACATATTTTTTTAATATGTTGCTCAATTAAGGTAGAAGCCTACTCATGTTTGTGAACGTTTTTCATAAATCGCATGACAATTCATTGGTTTATTATGCGACATCCTAAATCTATTGTCCTGTGGAACTATAAAATAGCATTTTTGTGAAACTTGTCCTAATATTTTTCAAAAAATGCCATTTTTAGAACAGTTCTTTAAAGCACAATATTACAAAAATAACAATTTACGGTATATATTTTTCAGCCTAGGTCACCAGCCTACAATTTAAGATATGCCATAGAAACCTGTGGTGAAATCGTTATAATAGTGCCAAAATGGCAACTACCCACTAGAATACAACCATCATGAATAGAATACAAATTATGAGTAGGCTTTCACCTTAAGACACATAATTTGATTGGAGAGGTATCTATATACATGTACGGAACATAGATAGAACTTCTCACTGCAAGATCTGACATAATGCGTGAAAGACTCGTATCGAACATCAGCAAATGATTTAATTTAATTTTTTTTTATAGAAATGCAAAACTTCTAGAGAGTAATAAGGCATTCAGAAACACTCACTCCAGTAAACGTGACCATCATCATTAAACGTGGAAATACTGTCGCTCGAAGTTACGACGTCTCTGCGACGGATTAGCTTTGTTCGTTCTGTTTTTACGTTCGATTTCAGGCATAACGTGGGATCTCGCAGTTGAAACTATTAACATTATTTGTTTTGTTCGTGAAACAATTTGATAAGTACTTGTCAAAATATAATAATTTATCAGATATCATAAATAATATAAAAAATACATGACTTACATTAATATGACCAGATTCTTGTTAATTACAATAGGAAAACTGAAGATGATACAATTTTTTTGAAAAGGAATAAGTATATCCATATGTAAAGGAAATCTACTAACATCACGGCATATATAACTACAATAATGTATCAAAATTGAAAAGCTGGTGTCGTGGCAATATTATTGAATGGCAATATTTGAAAATAGGAACACTTGAACGAAATACAATTGAACTTTATTATGATTTTATGGATTCATTTTTCTGTCATGGTGGTACAGATACTTAATTACCATAAGATTAGTAACAGGTGTGTGCGTGCTGCGTGCGTGTGTCGTGGTGTCGTGGTAGCAGGTTGCGATTCTATCAGATGTTTAATGTGTTCAAAATGATAATGAGTTGAAAAAGTAGTTTTTTAGTATTTGTCACAGATTCTACCTTTAATGTAATTTAAATGAATGGGACAATTATTGCAGTACCACATATGGAAGTGGTTATGCATAGTCAACGTGTGGGATTGGTTTCGAATAAAGTACATTGATATATTGAATGAACCTACATTTAAACACACATGGATTCTGACCAAAAGAAATATTCACACCTTTATGTTTTGCCTATAAATAAAATTTAAACATCAGTAAAAGTGTATCTAGAGAAACTAAATAAAACGGCGTGGGCCAGTAACCAATCATGAGTGATGGCAACACAATGATTAAATAAAACCAGACCAGAGAAACAGTTGATAACACACATTTGCATATGAATATTGTATTTGTATCTACTTTGAACCAGATCACAAAACAAACTAACGTTCATCAGCAACTTCTCATATGTAACGATGATACCAAGTTAAAAAAATAAATCAGCCTAGGTATGTCTGAGAAACTGTTGATGGAATGCTGCTTTGGATTATTGTGTAATTGGCAATTGTATTTTTAATGAAAATGATCGTCACCCTGTTAATTTACATGACAATTGGAAAATTCAACTTTCAACCTACTATGTTTTGCCTTTGTACTAAATTGAAACAACCTGTAAAAGTGTATGCGAGAAATGAGTATAACAAAACAAAATGGCCGCCCAATCAGCCATTTTGCACTAAATCGCAAAATAAAAATCAACTAAGGCAAGCCCGAAAAACGGTCGATGACATGTGATAATGTTGATTTTTACATTTGTTTACAGTGAAGGACACGTCACGTGACATAATTACTGTCACCACCCACTTATTCACAATGATGCTCATAGTGATTGGATAAAGCTAGTGAACATAGATTAAATAACAAATGGATGGATACAACTATCAATGCAATATCTTGTTTGCATGGCAAAAGTGAGTATAAAAGTCCTGAAACAATGCAATAATACAACTAAACATTTAGCATGGAAGTACTGGAGATAGTTTAGGTGAAAACAGTCTTGGCCGAAAATGTTCCTCAAATAATACTACTGAACTGTAATAAATCTCAATTTTCTCATGGATTAATATAACATGAATTGTACAAATCATAATACAGCGACATATCTAAGAATTGGCGTGTTTTTCAATTAATAAAATGACAATGATCTAATTGACAGATCTTGAAGATAATATTACTAACATCTGTTCTTACTATATATTTGAAGGTGAGTTATTGACATCACAAGAAGAAATGGGATAAAAACTTATTGTAACCAGAACAGAAAACAACGGAGTCAACAACGATGAAAACAACAAAAAACGACAGACATTTTCCCCTCATACACATTTACCCTTACTTACGATGATATGTATAAGATAAAAATAACGACCAAAAAGACAATGACAATTTGTTGTCACCTTCAGCAGGATTTGCAACTTTACCCCCCCCCCTTTTGTCTGGTGCAAAATCTTTGATAAATGTCAAACTCCGATGTTTAAGCAGGAACCTTCAGACAATGATCATCACAACACCACCAAATTCTATCACCACATGAGACAGGATGCAACGCACCAAAATTATCATCCATGCCAGCCTTGAAACGTAGAAACTCCGAAAACTGACTACGACTATGTTGATGCTCCTTTGATTTTAAGTCCTGAACTTTCATTTGTCCTGGTTCATCCATGACATCAGCTAGGTCTGGACAAGTGAACTATTACTTATTACATTTATTACCTACATAGCACTTTAATATGCAGTCATCAATGTATTGTTTATATATATTATAGTGTCCTTGCATGTCCACAGCTAGGAATATCATATACTTACACAGCATTTTTTTCATACATCATTTAGATTTGCGAACAGTAATTATATAAACATGCCAAATTCAACATATTTATGTGGAAGCATTTTCATGTGTATATCCCTTCCACATTTGAGTACTGTTGCAAAGGCTGATAAAATAAGTCAAAAAACATTCAGAGGTTTAATCTCAAAGACATTAGCACTCAGTCTAATTCTTTCTAAAGACATGCCTGTATTGACATTGCCATTTGAGTGCTGAAGTTTTTTCATATTTTGCAAAATAAAGTTGTGTAATGTGCAAAAAGTTGCACAATATTATGGAATTCAGAGAGTTGGTGAAAATATATTAATTATTAGTATAGAAGATTTACCTTATTCTGGATATCCAGAGTTGCTTTACTTTCTACCAACAATCTAGCAATCTCCACTCTGCCATGCAATGCACAAGATAAGAGTGCAGTGAAACCTTCCTGGGTATTAAAAGGAATGCAATTAAAAACAAATATAAAACACATAAGCCCTCAGTTTCATTCTTTCTATATAAGAAAATGCATATTTTTACATTACCATTGCCAAAAGTTTCTGCAAAAGTTTGGCTGAAAAAATGATGGCATAAAAAAGCTTAGTGAATATTAATTATTACATGTGAAGCAGACTTACCCTATTTTGGATATCCAGATCTGCTTTACTTTCAACCAACAATCTAGCAATCTCCACTGTGTCATGCCATGCACAAAACATGAGGGCAGTCCTTCCAAGCTGAATATTAGAAGGAATGAAATCATAAATATACAAACCACATTCAGAGGTTTATTTTCAAAAACTTTCGAAAATGTTGAATATGATCCATGTGAGACTATGTTCCTTTGGCTCAGAATAAACAAAACAATTAAAGAAAAATACAGGCAAATTAAATGCGACAGCAACATTTTGGCAGGAAAAAATGATAGCATTCAAAAAGTGAATGAATCAACATTAAAGCGGCGGAGTCGACACCTGCGCATGCGTCAGATGGCCATAGCGTGTCATTGTTTACAAACAAGCGTCTGCCCATGAGCCTTTCTGTTTTAGTGTGTGTTGTTCTCGCTTCGGACTCAATTCCCGCGCGCGCGCGCGTGCGCAGGTGACGACGCACTCGGTTTAATTATGTTACTGGTATATTATAGAACACTTGCCTCATCCTGGATATCCAGATTTGCTTTACTTTCTACCAACAATTTAGCAACCTCCACTGTGCCATTCACTGCACAAGATATGAGTGCAGTTGATCCACGCTGAATATTAAGAATGAAATCATAAACAAATAAACAAGTTTACCTTCCAACACTTTAGTACTCGGTTTTATACTTTCTTTGTAATTATGTAAAGGTAATACATAAAATTTGATCACAACATGTAGCAAGTGTGGAATTATGAAAAAAATTATGGCATGCACACAAATAATTAATGAATATTAATTATCACATGAGTAGAAAATTACCTCATCCTGGATATTCAGATCTGCTTTACTTTTTACCAACAATCTAGCAATCTCCACTGTGCCATGCCATGCACACCACATGATTGCAGATGAACCATTCTGAATATTAAGAAAATTACATCATAGGTTTACTCGGGCATAACACCTGTATTGTCATTCTATATCTGAACGAGTACACTCCTCATTACATTACATTATCCTATACATACATTACACTCGCCATGCCAGTTTTTCTACAGAAACTCATTTTTGAGTTGGAAATTTCTGTGCCAAATCGAGTGAACAAATATGTCGCACATTTCGTTTACTGTCTCAAAGTTTGTATTGGTCAATACGTAAAATAATAATGATTGAGCATTGTATACTACACGTATTATGTCACATGGAAAATATCGTATTATAGCTTATGAAAATGTTTTCAAACTGACCATAGAAAGATATATTCCGATTGAAAACATATATATGTTGTTTGAGTTTGAATTAACTTTAAAAAAAAAATGGCTTTTGCAACACAGGCAAGAATATTCTTTCAAGTATAAAACCTTGCCCTTTGTTATATAATATTATTTCCTTTATCATAGTTTGTTTTGATATAAATATGCATTGTCATAATAAATTTTGAATACAAACAAGTTTTGGGGTTGAACCAACAGTTGGGAATCAGTCTACGAATGTCCTTGATAGATGTAAATATCTTGAAAAAACATTGGTGCCTAATTTGTTTAATTATTTTAAGAACATAATTTCCAGCTTTATTCAAAGTAATTCAGATATCTTAGTATAAAAACAAATGCCTCAGCGCAGAAAAAAGTGCTGCATTTAGACAGGAATAGATTCATAAAACATGCAAAATGACAGAAAATATTAGCTGACTTTTGTCCAAGTAATTTATACAGGTGTATGTCAAAAATTAATGATTCACTGAGACAAATATGAACTGCATTATTATATTCATTGTGTGACTACTGTATTATATGAAAAGTAAAAAAAAACATCCTCTATGAATAGCTATCATGTTGCAAGCTCTGCTTTGTATGCAAATCAACTTAAATAGTTAGTTGGTGTCCAGTGGAGAGAGAAGTCAACAGTACTGTTGCCTCCTGAGAATCCATATCTTCAAACACTGCAATCTTTGTTTTTGAAGTGCGTTTTCAAATTAGTATTACAAAAGCTCTATCATTCTGTTCTAATAGCTGAAACAAATTCCTGTGAATTTTCATTTGTCTGAACTGTTTGTCAAATACAGAATACATATATTTTAGTACAATTTTCTTTTCAAAATGTGGATGCAACGTTTTGCTTTTTATGTATTGTTTTTGATTTGATTACCATGAACTGAACAGATTTTCTATTAGATCTTGATCAAAGTTTGGCACCCAGTTCATAGGAGTGCTTATAATATATATTTCTGTAAAAATTGTATTGGTAGGTTTGCAAACGTGTATCAGACTGTGCAAAAAATCTCTCCATGAGTTGGTTTTGAAACCCAGTATTGGGAATACTATAAGGATATTATTACAAGATAAATGATTTACTTCATTGAACACATACAGCAATGCATATTTCCACTGAGATCAGTGACCTTTGATGCGTATCACCAGTGATCAGTCAAGTAGAAACAGTCAAAATATTTTATAAGATTTTCTCAATGTTTGCATATTTCCATACAGAACATCTGTTGTTCAAACTTTATACTGATCAATAAGTTGACCAAGTTTGGTGAAGTTTGGAATAGAGTTAATAAAGTTATTATGCACACAATAACAATTTTTAACGACGACAACGCCGGACAAAAATCTTTCCCTTAATACACCTTTTCCTTCCATCTTTGATGGTATGGGCAAGGTAAAAACACATTTGCAGTGATTGTATTTGTTCGCTCAGAAACGTTCAGTGTATTTGCGTATTAGAAATTTTCACTGAACGAATATTTATTTTCATATTCATTAACATACAGTTGTATTGAATCATCTTTATTTAAATACTACATCTCAAAGTCTAAAACTCCTGTGTGACTAAATCACGTACCTCATCCTGTTCATCAACACGACCAGCTGCTATATAATTTCTAATGTCGTCCATATTTTCGCCACGAACAATCTTCAATTGAAACAAAATATTATAACTTTTATTGATCAAATTGTTTTTACACTGTCATTGTGTAATCTTTCATTTAAGTTGTCAGAAAATATCAACAGATAAATCACGTGCATCAAGGACCCGTTAAGTTTGATGGACATACCAAGTTTGAATGAAATGTGCAGAACATAAAACCAGTTACGGAATGGCAGAAATGCATTTTTAGCAATAAAATGGCTGTAATTCGACCATCTTGAATTGGATCATGAAACAACATGCATACGTAGTTTTAATGTGATCGGTCAAAGCATGTCAGCAATATGATCCTGAACTGTATTGGATCAATCAATTGGGTAATGAAACAGATCCATGTGCTTATAAGTGATATGTTGTGTAATGCACGTGTCCAATTTAAATGTGATAATTGCTTAGCAATAAATAACAAACTTTAAATGAAAGCCAGTCAAGAACTAAATATTACCTGTGCTATTGTTCTTTTCTGATACTCGGGTAGCACACTAGGACAAGTCATATTGTGTCTTTGTTTCTAGAAGTTATATGATATCAATTCATTTGGACCTGTTTCTCGTGCCTAGATTAAAGATACAAAAAAGACTGATAAATTCGGCATTTAGTGTGTATAAAATCTGACAATGAAATACGATGATTATTAGAGAAACTCAGGCAGGCTTCAATCATGCATTTTTTTTAAATTTTTAAAATACACTTTAAATTACCGTTTAATCTGTGACAGGTTACTAAAATAAGTAAACAAGGCAGGTATGTCCTAAGAATGGCGAAACGTCATCTAGATTATTTTAGTATTTTCACATACACATACATTATACATAAAGATTAGTGTGACCTTGTTTGCGTATATGTTGTAACCATCTTGGTGAAAGAGTAGCGCTGCTAAAGTAACAGGGTATCCGCACCTTAGTTATAGCTACGGGACATTCATGCTAATCGTATAAAACTATTGTTATTGACGTCAAATGAAAATGTAGTATACATTTATATGAATGATTGATGTGTAATTGCGTGGTTGTAAAATGTCGATGGACTTTGATTTTTTAAACAAGCCTATGTCTACAACAAAAGAGATTGCAGATCCAAGACAGACATGGTCAACTAACCAAATGGTTTGCGAAAACAGATTTTCCTGCGTTGCAAATATCTATTAGTCGAATCCTAGAGAAGATGACGTTGACATTGGTGTTGCGGGGTTTGATTCACCAACGATGAAATCAATCATTTCATCTATAACTGTACTGTTACTATATATATTCTGCTATAATCCAATTTGATTAAAAGACAGATTGCGCCATCGAAAACAAATCCATGTCGAGACCGATTATATTGACATGGTTGTTATATAAACATGGATTTGTTAGATTAATTTAAGCAACAAATATTGGTAATCTGGTCAGGTACTTAGTTAGATGGAAATTTTGAAGAAGTACATACGCATTATTAATAGACTTATTTAAATACTAACAATATAGACTTATAACGTAGTGCCACATTGTGTGAATGCTTGCAGTGTAACTGTGAAGTGGTCTTACTCGTGTTTTTTTGACGTCGCCGCAAACAGGAGCACAATCGGCGTCCTTTGATGTCAAAATCACCATCGGCGCCACGATTTGTTACCAAGATTGACAAAATAATTCACTAAAATTAGAGAAATGGTATCATCACACTCACTTTCAAAAGTTGAAAAGGGCTGGAAAACTACACAGTAACTTGTAACGTTTCGAGTTTTGCTCATAGTGAAAACAGCATCGGTTTACTACACTTACTAATTGACAGACCTTGGAGAATAAATTCCTAACATTCGGTTCTTGTTATATGCAGTTATATGTACGAAATGACTCCTTTATGACTTATTTTATTATATGTTGTTATAAACCTATTTTACAATTTGGTCCAAAATATCATTATATATTTATCAATCGAAACATTTTTTTTATATTGATTGAGTAGTGTTATTATATTTTAAATAAATGATGCCAACATTATTTAGATGACTTCTCAATCAATAGACATGTGAGAAAAATCCTTAAAAAAATTTTGAAGACCATATGAAAAATGATGTTGTGTTCCTTTTGCGAGTAGGACGGGCACCGTCTTGGATTAATGCAAATTTAAGAAAATGAATAATACCATACTGAAAAATCCTGGCGGAACAGTGTGTATCATTCTATATTTATGTGTATTTAATATTATCAAAGGTAAACTCCAAAGAGGTACAGAAACATAACCACCAAGGTGTTAACAATGGCGGCCATTTTGAATTTATTCAAATTAGCCAAATCACCCAATGATGTCTAGTTTGCACCCATTAGAATTATGAATGGGGTTCAGTGAAAAACCCATTTCATCACAAAATTTAAGCCATATCCAATGTTTTCGCAAACAATAAAGATGACATAATTTTTAAGCTGAAACATTACGAATCATAGCGGGAATTTGGCCTGCTGTACACCGGCTAGACTGTTCTTGGGTCCAAGTATTTCTGAATCATTAGATTTAAAAACAGTCAATACAACAGGCTGTACGTGACTTTGTGGTTCGGGTGACCAAACATAACGTAATGCGACCGTCGCCGGCGAGTTTACTGCGTGACGTCTTCCTAACCAAACGAATAAATGTCTGTTTTGGTGAGAATAAAAAAGTCGTATTTCGTGTAATTGGGTGTACGATCCCTTTATTTCTCAGAAATGTTTTTTATGATAAATGCCCAGATGTTTAGCTATGCTATTTACTAATATGGACCAGTGTTTAACAATAAGACTATATCATTCAATTCAATTCACAGGAACGAATATGCAGTAATTATAGTCAAATGTTATATCTATATCAAATGTTATATTTATTATTTTCTTCTAGGTGAAAGTCATTGTTTTATTGTCAAGTTACTGGCTCGTGACTAAACTTATTTAAGTGAAGATGTGGAATGTGAAAAGCTTGTAAAGGATAGTTAGGCTAATAAACGGAAATTATGAAAGCACACAAATAAATTGTGCAAACAGGGGATTAAAGAGGGACCCATAATTAAGTATAAAATGGCTCCCATTTGCGCACAGAATATATTCCAGTTCATTTTCTCAGTGTTTCCTTTGCCATATTCTTGGACAGACCAATTTCCCATATTCTTAGTTCAACCTTTGTCAAAACGACCACACGTTTAATTTTTCTCGATATTGAGCTAGGATTTGGCTCTATGATGTTAATCATCTTAGTTCCAACCAGCATGCGAATGTCTGATGTCAAGGGTCAAACTGATAAGCATCAGGCCATTACCAGATGTGATATGTATATTTGAAGATGCAATATGGATGGAAACATACATTTTTAAAATATTGTATTTATCATGAAATAAAAAAGTCGAGTTTGCAAGACACACAACAGTATTTGTTAGATGTAAAATTGTTATTGTACATATCCAAAACCAGTGTAGATTTTATTGTTTTTTCAAAAGTAAACTCAGACGTGTTCTTCAAAAACTGCTTTTTCAGTTTGCGACAAATCATAATCCAGTGCATCTACAACATAGCCTCCCAAAAAATTATATGTGGTCATCTTTATTGCATCTTTACTACCAGTAGTTCATTATTTTTCATCTCTTGCATAGATGACAATATCTATATCTGAACAGCCACTTGGGTACATACTAGTGGATTAGATTAGGGTACAACAAATACAAATTATTTTGAACCCAAAGATATGCAAATAAATCTATTTGCATATTTGAGGGAGGCTTTGATCATGTATATTCGGCACAAAATTCAACAGTGGGTGGACATGTTCTTAGCAATAATGACCGGGTAGTCCAATAATTGTGCCTATATGGGTGACCATTTTTATATATGAATATATACATGTATACAAGTCACAAGTCAAACTCCTACATATATAGAAAAGGGTTTGTCAGACCTGTAAGTTAGGTATATCATTAGCAGCCAAGCCAAAAACCATAAACCATATAATAATTAATATAAGCCCATAATTAATATTTTCACAGGGTCTTCGGAAATGCATTAATTTTGTTGCAGACATGACTGATAAGCATGTTATGCTGGATATTGCTACTACTATGACATTGTCTAACCTAATATTCAGATTTTAACCTAATACATGTATTTTTAAATTGAACCATAAATGTTCAGACCTAGAGCCCAGAGCAGCTCATTGTAATAAACAAGTCGAATTTGCTCGTACGTTACAAGAAAACGAATCATTTGTATGCATGAAGACTTTGTCTAAATCAGCTTACCATGTTTCACTTGTAGCTAACTCTGTTCTAGTCTTCACTTGTAAATAATACAATACAAATCAATACACAAGATGTCGATAAATTCTTTATTGAGAAACGTATTACCGTGATATTAGTATGGTGATTTCTTCAGATTCATCGAATTTGATATAACCAAGTGTTAAACATGTGCAGTTAATATTTGGATAGAAGGTGACGAGCAATGATAACTAATTAGTACACATACATACTTGCACTTAAGGTAGAGATGTAGTTTATTTGGCTTGCTTTTTAATTGAGTAATTAGACAATGAAGATGGTATTATATATACAACATGTTATATATTTTCTGAAAGCTTATTATACAAACTTTGTAAAACTTGTCTTTATTTTAAATATCCAGAATGCATTTTTGATTTTGGGTCAAAAATATGCTTTTTTTGGACAAAAGTGGTTTAAAAAAAATTAGCTTAAAAACTTCAAGTCCGTTTGTGGGTAAAATTACATCACTGGATACCTTGGTATACTACTAATTCAAATGCGTCCACTCATCTCTCTAACGGCTTTCAAAGTCGCACAGCATAACCTCAAAGTTCACTCTTTTCTATTTTTGCATAATTT